GGTGAGTATAGCTACATTTATATAATTATAAGGACAAGTTACATTTTTTATAGGTGAAAACTCTAAATGCTTGTTAAAGCACTTTGACTTTGTAATTAATTAGTTTGGATACACCTTATACTGGTAAATGCCACCTGTATCTCAGAACATTGTTTGTTTTGGAAACAAGCAAACAGTTATGTGAGAAAGTACAGCATTAAAAATCACATGGAAATAAAACCTGGCCAAAACACATAGACTATAAAATGTATGTATATTGCTTATGTACACATCCTGTGTGCCGTACACTTTCTTCCTTCTACTCTGTGCTAGAGAATACTATCATTCTTTTCTTTATACTCAGGAACACAATTAATAATGACATACTTGAAGTGATCTCTCAAAAATCTTGCCAAAGCTGACCAAGAGTGGGAACCTATGCATAGTCTTGATGGCACAAAATAAAGAGAAATAGACCAGGAAGCTGAGGGTAGGGTCAACTCTTCTGCCCTGTGGTTCTTGCAAAACCAGTCTAAAGCAGCTGACAGTGTTGGCTATGGGGGTGGATCCTAAAGTGAATTATGAAGTCTGGAGACTTTGAAGTGAATTGGCAAGAGCTCTGAACCCATCAGCACAAGGAGGAAAAGGCTAGCCATTCCTTTTCTTGTTCTAACTTCTAATCATAAAAAAAAGTTTGTGTGTGTTTTTATGGAGGCAGTGATTAGAATATTCTTGGGGGGTGAAGGAAAAGGAAAGTGGTAAAAAGGCATTTGCTACATAGGGGTAGGAAACAAATTGAATTGCTCCATGACTGGTTGAGTTCTTCCAGCAACATCTATGATAAAGAGTTTGGACAATTGGGTATTTTTCTCCTGGACAATTATTATTACACATTTGATTACTGGGACCAGAAGCATTGTCACTGTGGACATCATGGGTGGGAACTATTATTGAGCATCATTTATGGGTGCTGGGGAGGTAGCTCAGTGGTAGTGTACTTGCCAAGCATATACAAGGCCCTGGGTTCAATCCCCAGCACCCCTCCCCAAATAATTTCTAATGAGATGTTACTCTAAGTTATGAAAAATTTTATGATCAGATTTGAATCACAATGATTACCATGACCCAAAGACTTTTACTGGCAGAATTTTAAAATGATGCGCTAATCATAAACACCAGTATCTTGCTAATTAATGTGCTTTGTTTGGCATATTGAGAATGTGATCTGTAATTTATTTGGTTTGAAGTGGGTCTTATTAAGTCAGTATTCTGTAAGTGGTGTTTTTTCCCTTTTGGTTTCAGTACTTCCTACCTCTACTAACCTGAATTTTTAACATCAGCATTCCTAGGACATATTGAACAAAATTTCCTATATGACTTGCGCTCAAGCCCAATTCAGTTTTGTTAGTTTGCAAGGTAATAAATGGGTGTGCTGGTTCAGAAAGGGTACAAAAATGGAGCCGTATTAAAGTTGACAAATGATGCTTATATAGGCAGCTAATTTTTTAAAAAAGTATGAAAACTTGTAGTTAAACCTCAAAGGTCCCAAAAGATGGAGTCCACACCCATTTTTGAGAAGGAAGTCCGTGAAATGACAGGATATCATCAGGAGTGTCTCAGGCCAAGGGAAAACACTTCTTAAAAGAAAATAACCAGAGGCAGGAGTGTGGCCAGTAGTGGGAATAGCAAAGTTTCACCTCTAAATTACCTGAGGGCTAATAACAAAAAAGCACAGATATCAGTAAACCTGCTGGGGCAGACTGAATTTTGAGCTGTCTAAAGCCAGTGGCTTTACTCAAAGGCACACAAATCTGCCCATTTCTGAGTTTGGGGACAAGTTTTTTTTAAATTTTCTTAAACAATAGGTTCTTGGATTTGAAGCTGATTAAAAATGACTAAAGTCCAGGTGTGATGGTGCACAACTGTAATTCCAGTGGCTTGGGAGGCTGAGGCTGGAGGATTTTGAATTCAGAGCCAGTCTCATTTTAGCAAGGCCTTAAGCAACTCAGTGAGACCCCTTCACAAAAAATAAATAAATAAATAAATAAATAATAAAATAAAAATAATAAAGCTCAGTGGTTAAATTCCCCTTGGTTCAATCTCGAGTACCACTCCCCTCCCCCAAGCAAAAATAAAAAAGATTAAAAAAAAATAGAGAATGCATTCTGTTTCAACCCCAACTGGTCAGACAGCAGCTGGTGTATTGCAGTTCAGTTCTGCTGTTAACCTCCTGGAGTCAGTGAGGACCCCATTGGGAAAGGACACAGTCCTCCACAGCACCTCCCTCATCTTAGTGAAATTCAGAGGTCTTTAGGTCACTCACACTTCTGACTAACTGCTACAAGTTTGAAAGTTCCCACTACCCCACTTTTTTCCAGAAGACTCACAGAATTCAAGAAAGCACTTTTTAATGAAAATTTCTCTAAAAACAATGCACACTAGGAGCAGCCAAAGGAAGAGACACAAGGTCCCAGCTGAGGCTGGAAGGGCTCAGGAAATGGAGCATCTGTGCCTTCCCTAGTAGAATTGGTGATGTCACCTTCCCAGCACACCAGTGTGTTCACCAACCAGCAAATACCTCTGTGTTTTGGTGTCCAGGCCTTTTTGTTTTGGGGACAGAGTCTTGTTAAATTGTTGAGGCTGGCTTTGAACTTGAGATCCTCTTGCCTCAGCTACCCAAGTTGCTGGGATTACAGGCATGCACCACTGCATCTGGTATATGTCCAGAGTTTTTATTAGGATTTCATTATGTAGGCATAGTTGATTAAATCATTGGTCAAGTGAACTCAAGCTTCAGCCTTCTTCCCTCGCCTGAGGCCAGGTTCAACTGACATTGTGTTGCCCAAAATACTAGTGCTCTAATCATGTGGTTGGTGTCTCTGGTGAATAGCCCCATCCTGAAGTTATCTAGGGGCCCCAAATAAGTCTCCTCATTATCATAAATCCTGGGGGGGGGGTGTCTCATGAATAACAAAGACACTTCTATTGCTTGGGAAATTCCAAGGATTTTAGAAGCTCTGTGTCAGGAACTCAGGACAAATAGCAGAGAAATTCTTTACAACAGCAAGAGAATTCAGGTAACATGGAAATATGCTTTTACATGAGCTCTATGTCTCGTACAGGGGGCTCTGATTTGTTTTGCAAACTAGAGCTGAGTGATCTTTTTAAAACCCATTTCCAGTCCTGTGTCCCTGCTTGCAATCCTTCCGTGGCCTCCCACTGATCTTAGAAACAGAGTAAAACCCCTAACCAGGTCTCCCAGGTCTTTCCTGGCCAGGCTCCTCTTCTTGCATCTAGCCTCATCTGACACATCTCTCTCCCCTTGCTCTCAGGAGTTGCCTTTCAGCTTCTTTCTTTCTTCCTTCTTCCTTTTTTTGGATGGGGTCTCCTGTGTTCCTCACACTGATCTCCAACTCCTGGGCTCAAGTGATCCTCCCACCTCAGCCTCTGAGCAGCTGGGACTACAGGCAGCATGCCCAGACTCCTTTTACTTTCTGGAAAGGGCCTGCTCTTTTGGCTTCTGTCCTTGTTACTCTGTGCTTGGATCAGGTGCTTCCCAATCTCTTGGATTTGTGGCTTTGTCACACCACGGCTCCTTTCCTCCCAGTACTCTCTGAGGTGTTCCTATTAGCTGCAAGTATACGGAGAGCTGTTTGTGTTGATGGTTGTATCTCTGCCCTCAACACCTATGAGGGCGAGGGCACTCAATGTACCTTTGTTGAAGGACTTCAACTGGTTTCCAATTTCTCCCCAAGGGAATTGGCAAAAGCCCTCATCCAGGTATGGCTGGGAAAATAGTGTTTGCTCTGGCTGGATTTCCCTTGCATTTGGTTCTCCAAGTTTTGCTTGTGCCTGTTCTTCACGTCTTTCATTAATCTTGTCCTGTGCCAGTGTGTACAGAGCTCCGTCTGACGTCAGAGCCTTTGCTCATGTACTTGCACAAAGCTTGCTTTTCCGGAATTTTGTCAGCTGGATTCCTGAGGACACTAATGTGTTGTACAAATGCCTGCTGACATTTTTTTAATCTGGGTTGGCTCTGGCTTTCTGTAGTGGGGTGATTCTGTGTTGCTATTCTGTTTTGAGCCCTCTCGAAAAGCTGGCTTCTTTGTGTCATGTCCTAGCCTTCTCTGTCTAGGCTGTTCATTATTTTCATTCTGTGATATTTCCTGCATAACCCATCAGGCCTCTCCTGGGCTGTAGCCACCTCAGGGTTGTCTCTGTTGGATGGTTACTCACTGTTGGATAATTGGTCTGGTGAGTAATCATTCTGTGAAAGGAAATAGACACAGAGAAACTAAGTAAATTTTACCCAAGAACATATAGTTAGTTAGTGAAATAACTGGAATTCAAATCCAAAACTCCATACTTCATATCTAACTCTTCCTACTCTCTTGGATTCGGTCACATTTGCGAGCAAAAGAATAAAAAATTTTGTTGACTGTTTTCCTGCCTATGAACATGTCTATATGTATAGCAAACTACTTGTCTTATTAGTGTCACTTTATTTGATTCTTGGACTGCAGAAACTGGAAGAAACAACTGACAGCAGTAAGCTAGACTTTTCTTAACTTTCCCCTTCAGAAGTTCTGAATAAAGAGAGCAAGGAATCTAGAGCACTCAAAAGTTCCAATTAAAGGGAACTGGACTGCATATCCAGATGTTCAAATTCCTATTAATCTTTCAAAGTTTTTCCTTCAGTGCCTATTTTGTAAAAAGTGATTGGTACATTTATCCATATTAGGCACTGATATGTTCACACTGTCAATTTTTATTAAAATAGATGAGAAAAGGCCTCAGTATTCCCACCTGAGATTAGGTGTTCTAAAAATATCTTATGAGTGGCTTGTTCATGGACATCACAAAGATTCCATAAAAGATGAAATAGTAAGTATAAGCCAAGGGAGATATATTTTAGGGTTTTATGAGATTAAAAAAAAAAGAAAGGATACAGAAGAATTTGTAGTTCTCAGTAGACCTGATGGATGCCTGAGTTTTTCCCTTGATCATATTTTTTTTTTCAGCAGTCCAAATGTTGAAGAAAATGGAGATGATTAACCCCAAACAGATCATCTATGAAGAGAAAGAATGGTCATCTGCCAAGAGGACCTGTCCTGCTAAAGCTTCTGCAGTCCTCCAAGGGTCAAAGACATTTTTTGTCTTCATGTCCAGTTTCTCCTGTGTTGTAAGTCTCAGGTCTTCCTGCCAGAGACACAGATTTCCTTAGTCCACACTTTGCACAAAGCCACCACACCACGTTTTGTGATTTAGCCCTTCAAAATAGACATCAGACCTGAGGGAACCACACTGACACATGGAGTCTGAATTCTGGGGCACAGAATAAATAGCCCTGTACATCACAGGGCACCACCTTCTCTGTGCGTGTTTCTAAATCTTACTTTTTTTTTTATACTAGGAATTGAACCCAGGGACATCTCCTGGGATGTTACTGAGCTACTGAGCTACCCTTCCAACCCTTTTTGTTTTTTATTTTGAGACAGAGTCTCACTTAAGTTGCTGAGGCCATCTTTGAACTTGTGATCCTCCTGCCTCAGCCTCCTGAGTAGGTGGGATTACAGATGTGTGCCACCACCCAGCTTCTAAGTCTTCATGTATTGTTTTCTCAATCTTTTCATGTTGTGGATGGAGGTAGACAATAAGGAAGTTTAGCTCTTTGTCCCTTTTTGTCTGTTAGCTTCTGTCCTGGGGTTTTTTCTCTTTGCTCTTCCAGAGCCCTTTCTATACATCCATCACAGGCCAGTGAGGTCGGCCTGAACAGACATCAATAGACTCATGCTTTCTGGCTTCTGGTTGGGTTTGGCTAAAGGAAATCATCAGTGGGAGATGGGAGCAAGGTGCAAAGTGGGGTGGAGGTATTGGTGGTATTAGTAGGGACTTATTAGTATTGCTCAGTTCCTTCCAGTTTAAGATGGGTGTCTGAACTGGGTGCCAGGGTGTGTAATTCCAACTACTAGGAAAGAGGAAGCAGGAGAATCGCAAGTTCAAGGCCTGCTTGGGCAATTTAGTGGTACTTGTCTGAAAATAAGATTTTAAAAAGGCTGGGATGTAGCTCACTGATAGAGTGCTTGCCTAGTGTGTGTGAGGCCCAGGGGTTCAATTTCTAGTACCAGAAAAACCAAGCAAGCAAGCAAGCAATGGGTGGTGTGTATCCCACTCCTAATGGGTAGCCTTTTCCTTATAGCTGCTCTCTTTGGAAGCCCAGATATTTCTTCCCTGAGATCCTTCAGGCCTAGAGAGGGCAACCAAGGGACTGTACTCTCTGTTGTTGATTTCTTAACTCCTGCCCACATCTTTGCAAAGGTTCCTTTATTAAAATCTCCTCAACTAACTTAGTTTGCTTGTTATTAGTTTCTTGCTGGGACTGATGGATAGTATTTTTTATGTTTCTGTTCCCCTCCCCCCCACCGCCCCTTCCTGTCGTTTATATCCTTGTGTGCTTGTTTGGTATTGGGAATTAAAATCAGGGCTCTTGACCACTGAGCCACATCCCCAGCCTTGTTTTGTATTTTATTTAGACAGAGAGTTTCACTGAGTTGTTTAGCACCTCGCAATTGCTGAGGCTGGCTTTGAACTCTCCATCCTCCAGTCTTAGCCTCCTGAGCCTCTGGGATTACAGGCATGTACCACCATGCCCGGCCTTGTTTTTAATTTTGAAACAGAGTCTTACTAAGTTGCTGAAGCTGGCATTCAACTTGTGATCCTCCTGTCTCAGTCTCCTGAGTTTCTGGGATTACAGGTGTGTGCCACACCATGCCTGGTTATCCATATTTTTATCAAAGTAAAATTGTATTTACTTACCATATTTTGGGATGGTGATGAGCTTCAATTAGTGAAAAACTTAAATTATTTGAAAAATGTTGAAAGCAAGGTATTGTTGTGGCTGGGAGTATAAAATGGCATAACCACTGGAAAACAATTTGACAGTTTATTAAAGAGTAAAATACATAGACAGGTGGGGTGTGGTGGTGCACACCTATAATCCTACCTATTTGGGAGACTGAGGCAGGAGGATCACAAGTTCAAGGCTAGCCTTGGCAACTTAGTGAGACTATGTCTCAAAATAAAAAATAAAAAGGGCTGAGGAAAAGCACCCTGATGTTTGATCCCCAGTAACTAACACACACACATGCACACACACACACAGGTAAAATCCACTTCTATCACATGATTTAGCCATTCCTTTTGTAGGTATTTACTCAAGAGAAAGCCTATAAGGATTTTTACATGAAGATTCATAGGACCCTTGGATTCAACCCCTAATACCTAAGACAAACAAACAAACAAACAAACCAAAAAAAAAAAAAAAAAAAGAGAGAGAGAGAGAGAGAGGAAAAACCAAACCAAAACCAAAACCCCAAACACTAATTGTGCACTTTCAATACGTGCGATTTATTATGTGTCAGTTTTATTTCAAAAAACTATTTAAAATAACATGCAATGAAGGGCTTAAAGATAATATAGTAGTTTCTATTGCTGCTGTAATGGTCTACTGCTCACTTAGTGGCTTATAGCAATGTGAATTTGTTCTCCTGTAGTTCTGGAGGTCAGAGGTGTGAGATTAGACTTGTGGACATAAAGTCCAAGTGTTGACAAGGCTGGTTTCTTTTGGAGAGTCTTAGGGGATAATCCATTTTCTTGTGGTTTTTGGCATCTAGTGTCCACCTGCATTTCTGCCCTGTGGCCCCCTTCCTCATCTTCAAAGTGCATCCGCTCCAGTCTCTGTGGTATATCACTTTCTCTTCTTCTAGTAACACCACCTCCTCCTCTCTTTTCCCTCTTATAAATACGCTTGTGATTACATTCAGGGACCACCGGGCTAACCTGGGATAATCTCCCCATCTAAAGATCTTTAACTTAATCATACCTAAAAAGCCTTTTTTTTTTTGTCACATAAAAAATATTCACAGGCTCAAGGGATTAATGTGGGTATCTTTGGGGTCATTATTCAGCTTACCAGAGATGGTACATTGTTCACTCTGTGAAAATGCATATTGCTTAAAATCTGGGAATGACTTTTCTCTTTTTCTGCTTTGCATTGAGGTATTTGTAAACAGCCTTGGCTCTTGGAAAGAAGGGAACAACTTCCAGGTGGGATACTATCTGAAAAATCTCACTGTACAGAACTCATTAGCTGTGCCACTTCTTGTGCAGAATTATAAAGCAAACTCAGTGTAGCAGCCTATATGTTTCAAGCCTACTCTCACATGGATGATGCTTTTTCCTGAAGAAAGGGCAGGGGGAAGAATGGATATTTGTTCTAAAGCTAATCTTTATCTTCCAAGATTCAATCTGTCTTTCATTAGCTCATCTTTTTTTTTTTCATAATACCCAATGCAATTTTAATGTCTTTCACCCCACATTTTTTTCTGGTGCATTATAGATGTACATGCTGATGGAATTTGTTGTTATATTTCTGTATATGCACATGATAGACAAAATAACAATATAATTTGGCCAGTATCACTCCCCAGCACTCTACCCCTTCATTAGCTCTTCTTTAATCACAATCCTGGTCTGACCAGTGTTGGGAAAATCCTCACCACCTGATCACTTTCTAGAAAGCAAGCATCAGGGTCCACACGTAGAGCCCCTTCTCGGGGAAGCTTTGAGATAGAGCTCTGACTCCTACATCAGGATAGACCCTTGGGTTTTGTTGACCCCAGACCCTGGTCTTGGAAATCTTTCTCAGAGGAGTGGGGGAGGTTAGAGGTAAGATGTATTATTTCAGGGAATGAGGTTGGAGGGAGACTTTGCCTCTTAAGAAGCCCTGTGGGGGCAGCAGATGGAATCAGAATAAAGCTGTTGTTGCCCTCACTCTCTGGGGTGGCCACTTTGTATCTAAACTGGCTTATACTGGTAGAAGGCTCCATTTGTGGAAGCAGCCCTGTCCAGTCCAAAACTTTCTCCAGACTGGGTATTCTCCAAAAGAGGGAGTCACAAACAAATAAGAGACTCAAGACTTGAATATAGACTGAGTAGCTGGTGGTTGAGTTTTGGGTATTTCTAGCAATGACTTTGGGATCTACTGGATGGTTTTTAAGTGGTAAATTGAGGGGGATAGCCCAGATTTACAAGGCATTTCCTGAAGGCAGGGGAGAAAGTCCTGTTTGTTCCTACTTACTTCTCTGATAGGCTAGTTCTCCTTCACAAAATGTAGAGTCTGGGGACTCTGCTGTCTCTCCTCTGCAAAGGTCAGGTGAGGGAGGGTGTGGGAGCCTGGGGAGATGGGAGCAAGGTCAGGTGTGGACATAACTGAAGTTCCATTCCTTGCCTGAAGGGGTCAGCAAAGACCCAGGTAGGGTGAAGACATCTTGACTGAAGAGAAGACATTCCCAAGAGTCCATCTGGCCCCAAGACATAGCTCCTGCCTAGCTGCTTCTGGTTTCTCTGCCTGAACATTGACAGCTCTTCCCACAGGGTGCCCTACTTGGCTGGAGATACTGGGTGGGCCCTGACTGTTGGATATAGGAAAGGGAATGGACCCCTGGGTCTGGATTGAAGGGGCCATCAATGTATAGAATTCTCCAGCTCTCTCCTCTTGGGCATTCCTGGGATGTCTGTGTTCCAGTCAGAGCCTGCAATCAAGCCATCAAAGCTAATAAGATTATTTCTGCGTTAAATGAAATTATGGATGAAGGATGGAGATGCAGGGAACAGACTAATGGTTCTAATGTTTTTTTCCAACCTTTCACTTCTCAATAAAGTGCAATCATCTGACTCCTTGTTTATGTTCTAGGAAAATGATGACTCCTCTGAGAAGCTGTGATTATTGTGTTCCTCATTCGTCGGTGTCTAGTTGGGTGGGATCAGGCAGAAGGAACCCTGGTGGAGAAGGGCAGCAAGTCATAGTCTGCCTCTTGGATGAGCATCTCACTTCTTACCTAGTTTCTTTGGTTGCTATACTTTCAATAATATTCTATTTATTGTCAAAATATTTTTATTTTTAATACAAAATATTATAAGAATATATTATCATTAAAAAAATAGAGGGAAAGCAAAAGCTCCTTACTTCACTCATCCTCTCCTCTCCCAGAAGTGCCTACTGCTGTTCATTTGAGGGAATATCTTTCTCTCTCTGTGTAGTGGTTTGAAAACTTGTCTACAATTACTTTATGCCACTTCTTTCAAAAAGCAAAGACTAATTTCCCTTGCCTTAAGGGTGGAAAGTACTTGGTGACTCACTTTTAAGGCATAGAAGGTGGCAGGAGTGATGATTTACGATGTCTGAAATTAGGGCAGAAATGGGTAGGGGCTTCTTCCTTTTCCCTGCTCTCTCAGAGGACATGCTTAGGGAGAATCAGCTGCCATGTTGTGAGGACACTCCAGGGGACCTAAGGAGAGGTCTCTGTGTTGAGGAACTGAGGCCTCCTGCCAGCAGCCTTGAGTGAACTGTAAAGAAATAACTGGACTAGGTTCTGCCCCCTGTGAAGGTATAGGCTCTCAGATGACATAAACACTTTTTTATATTGACAAAGAGTTGCTAAGTGGGTTGATTTTTTTCTTGGACCAGGGATTGAACCCATGGGTGCTTAACCACTGAGCCACATCCCCATCCTTTTTTATTTTTTATTTTGAGACAGGTTCTCACTAAGTTCTTATATCCTCCCTGAGTTGCTGAGGCTAGCTTTGAACTTGTAATCATCCTGCCTCAGCCTTCTGAGTCACTGGGATTACAGGCATGCACCACCATGCCCAGCAGTAGCTAAGGGTTTAAATAACAGGTCTGACTATTATTTAACAGATAATAAAGCTCGGGTTACCTGGTGGTTGCTGATATCGGATTGCCCTTCAGCACTAGAGAAGTTATTACCCCATCTGCTGGAGTGCTGCTGGCAGAAGCCCTCAACAATTACACCTCAGGAATTTTCTAAACTAGAAACAGTTGTCTTGCCCAGGGTCATGCCCACTTCTTAGCAGCCCACATTCAGGGATTGGTTAATGATGGCACAGAACTCGGCCCTTCTGCCCCAATTCAGGAGGCTCTGAAGAGCCATCCCATCTTCAGAGCTCCCTGCAGGATTGGCCAAGGCATCCCTGGGCTGCATTGCAGCTAAACTTCATTCTGTATCCAACACCTTCCCTTTCACAGCTCTTGATACCAAAAGCACTCCTGCATGCTGGTCTCTACCTCAGAGTTCACTTACTGAGAAACCCAAGTGGGGATAATGGGTACCAGGAGTGTTCTAAGAAGGGAGGTGAAGAGATAGGTCTTAGAGCTGGATTATCAGCCACCCAGCTGGCATCAGTGGTGGTAAGGTGGACACCCATAACCTGAAGAAGGTGACCATGCAACTGCTCACTGGTTATGAGCTGTGATTGTATTCTTGTGGAAGGGAATGCATTAACTGGTGCAAGGTTTCAGGCATTTGAGAAATATGGAGGATATGGTTATTATATTGATGCTCAGAAAAGGGTAACAAAGCCAAGAGTAATTAATCATTTATTGTAAATGTTGTCAATGCTGGAGGAGCTCCTGGGGGGCATGTAAAGAAGCTATTACTTCCTGCAGCCAGAGGACAGAGACAATTGATAATCAGACTCAGGGCTTAAGAGCAGGGGAGCTCCACAGAAGGTTCAACCCCACTAAGGCAGATCTGCTGTGCCCGCCAGGGACCAGGGTGGGAAAGAACATATCAGAGTTGATGCACCCAGAATCTTGAACCCCACATTTTCCCCTAGGAATCAAGGGGAAAGAAGCAGGAGTGGCCCTGTTAGCTATCTTTCCCAGTGGCCAACAGGGGAAATTTCATCCTTATCCCCATATTTTTGGGGGTCTGTGAAGTTAGAGGTCATGGATCCCAAAGGGAAATGCTTCCACTTGGGAACAGGCAAGAATTTTATTGAACTATAAGCTGTGGCTTCATTTAGATACTTTGGGTTCCTTGTGAAAGAACAACAGGGAAATAGAAGATTCACCATCATTTTTTTTTGTACTGGGATTGAACCCAAGGACGCTTAACCACTGAACTACATCCTCAGTCATATTTATTTTATTTTGAGACAGTCTCACTAAGTTGCTTAGGTTGGCCTTGAACTGGTGATCCTTCTGCCTCAGCCTCCTGAGCTGCAGGGATTACAGGTGTGCACTACTGATTTTGCATCTTGAGAGGATTGAATGACTGACCCCTCTTAAGCAGGAAAGAACTGCTATAACAGGGAGGGGCACATGAAAAAGGCAATATGGGAACTATCTTAAAATATTAATGGATATAAGCCTTTGACATAGACATGTACTTTGTGGATATACTTGCAAAAATATACCAAAATGTATAAATGAGACAGTTCATGTTGGAATGATTTGTATTGTAAAACTCAAAACAAAACAAAAATGGCTACCTGGAAGCTACTTAATATTTATTTGTTAATAAAAAATTGGCTAACTGTATGGCATATCTATCCTTATCACAAAACTCTATGCGTGTATTAAAAGAATAAAGTAGAGCTGTATGTGCTGGTCCCTAAGATGCATTAGTAAGTGCAAAAATTATATCCCTTTATAAACATAAAAATAAATATCATGTTGATATGCACACACACAACACTTTTTTTTCTGAGAAATATATTCTTCTTCTTCTTCTTCAGCAGTGATTGTCTTTGGGGAGTGAAGTTGGCAGATTTTAAATTTTAGAAAAATTTTTATATTTTTCATAATATTTGACTTTTCTAACCATGTATTATGTTGTTTTCATTTATAAATAGTTAATAGCAAGTAACTGGAAAGTGGTGGTCTCATAAGCCATTTTAATTTTAGTCTTTAAAATTTTTTGCTTGAAAAGAATGAATGAATGCTATAGAAACCAGGACGAGAAATGCAGGTAGGTTAATATCCTGCTCCCTGCTTTTGGGCTTTGAATCACTTGTGAATTAAATTCTAAGATAAAGCATCTGATGAAGAATCCATTTGAGTATAATCACCCTGAAACTTCTCAGTCCTTCACCCCATCCCCTTAGCCTCCCCAAGAAGGAGCTGTATCTTCAGGGGTTGAGTTACAAAAGGTGTGTGTGTGTGTGCGCACACACGTGTGCATGTGTACATGCATGCATATGCGTTGTGATGATATGGAGGGATAACGACCTTCTCCTGGCCGCACTCAGTTCAGGGGCCCCACATACAAATTGACAGACACACTCGTCCAATCTACTGCTCTTCAGAGCCATGCTGAGCCCTTGTGAAACCTGGGGCTGGTCTGGGAAGTTTCCCTCTCATATCATGCCTGGGCTGAGCTCTCTGTCCACACTGCCCTGGAGTCAGAGGCAGCTGTCTGTCCCTCCTCCTTCTCTTCCTCCCCGTGGATTCCCTCTCAGGGGCTCAGCACTAGTTCAGCCATCTGGTCTTAGGGACTGTTCAACCCCTCAGGCATGCTATAGTAACCCCATCTGTCCAAACAACTTAGATTCCTTCCTCTCAGAAGTCCTTTGGTCTCTATCTAAGTGTGTAAGAAAGAGAAAGAGAGATTTTTGGGTGTGTCTGGATGCCCGGTAGCATCAAGAACTGTGTCATATCCCAGTGGGCACATCAGGGGAGTGGAGATGTGACCCTGTTTACTGCAGAGTTTGCACCTAGGTCCACCATCAGTTAATATCCTTTCACTCCTGTACAAGAAATTCACAAGGGGATGAATCTCTCTGCTGCTAAATCCTGTGACATCCCCATAACCAGGACTGGGGTGGCCACAGCATTACCAGATTTAGTTGCTGCCCTCAGGCTCTGTCTCTTTGTTTCCCTGGAATGTCAGTTCTTCCCAGGGAGTGCCAAATCCTCAAGGCGCTGGGGGTAGGTTAATGATTCAGAGTCTCCAGCATTTTGGCTTAGATTCAGGGAAACAAAACTGGATGGTGTATGGGGCTGGAGAACTGAAGAGCCCTTCTTCCTAAACTGGAACTTTGTGACTTTGCAGTTGGTGATCATAATATTCCTGGTCCACAGTGGGATCAAGCAGTTCTCTGTTTTAGCATTAGTAAAGACACAAGCTTCTTTTCAAATTTGATTTTGAAGATGTTAAGATTATGTCTCTAATCATGTACTCTGGAACATTCCTATTAATTCAGTTCAATAGACATTTATCAAGTGGCCAAATTATCTAACACTGCCTTAGGCTTAGAAAGTATATATTCCATTAGTAAACAACACTATTGCAGTGGAAAAAAATCAGAAAGGTGTTCAGGAATGGGAGGGTCATCTGAGAATCTGTTTATGGCTACAATGCTTAGAAGGCACGCAGGATAGGTAGAATGGAGCTGGAAGAGACCAGAAAGTTCTAAAGAGAAAGAATAAGATCACACCTGTAATCCCAGTGACTCAAGAGGCTAATGCAGGAGTATCACAAGTTAGATCCAGCTTCTGCAAATTATCAAAGCTCTCTGCAACTTAGAGAGACTCTTTCTCAAAATAAAAAATAAATTAGGACTGGAGATGTAGCTCAGTGGTAAGTGCTCCTGGGTTCAATTCCAGTACCCAAATCAAACAAACAAATTAAAAAAAAAAAGAAGGAATAAGCAAATCTACTTCATTCATATCCCAGATGACCTCTGGAAGTAGATTCCTAGATACAATGCCTAGGTGCATAGCTGTCCATTACAGTATTATAGGCTTCTGATTCTCTTCATTTATTTCTCCCTAAAGCTGTTCTTTCTCCTGATCTTGGTTATGGTAACTGAGTAAGGTCCCAGCCCTTGAGTAGGATAGCATTTGTCTGAAGGAGAAGCGGGAATTGAAGTTGAAGAAGCTGCATCTATATTAAAGATACATGGGCTCTTTGATCTTGGGTGACTAAAACATCATGCTCTTGGAGAGACAGAATGTTATAGATCAAGAGCCAAAGTTATCTTGGGCTATCTTTAGTCCCCATTACTGGGCACTTAATATCAAGCTCTGTATCGGACCTAACATCTCTTGACTTCTGGATACAATTCTTGGAATGTATTGCTAAGCTTGACACACTTCTAGCCTCCACCAAGCCTAAAGCTAAGACTGCAATAAAGAAAACATAAAAAATGTCACAGAGGACATGCTGGGGATGTAGCTCAGTGGTAAAACAGTTGCCTAGCATGTAATGTTATTGTGTGAACTGATCAATACAATCAATAAGTATAGGTTATAGACTGTAGGAATAAAGATTTTGATAAGTAAGATAACAGAAATAAGTAACTGTAAAACATAGGATTTAAACCATAGAGACAGCTGCAGAACCTATTTCTGAGAAAACAAAATGAAAACTATTTTCTGTTAAATTAAAAAAAAAACATATTGTCTTCTGTACTTTGTACCCCACAAAATGTACTCAATCCAGGATACAGTGGTCTTGGTGACCTATATGACTTTGAAGTAGATTCTTGTCCCCTATAACTGCCTGCTTGACAGTTGTTTAACACCTGCTCGGACCCAAGATGTGGCTGAGTTGTTCGGCTAACAGCTTTTTTTGCTTCTGTAACTTGCTTGCTTGCTAACTAAAAAATTCCTTAGGTTGTAGTTTTCTCCTTAAATAGCAAATTTCCCTCAGAGGGGGGCTGCTGTTCTTTTAGCGAGCCACTTTGGACTCTTGTTAGATTCGGCCCCTGACCAGATATAATTGACAAAAGTGGCGAAATAAAAACACTTCAAATGATTTCAAATTCGGACTTGGTATGTTTTCTGAGCGGTCTCCCCACAACAGTATGAGCCCTGGGTTCCATCCCTAGCACCTGTAGAAGACATTTCCTTGCCTTGATATAGATGATATCTGAATCCTACGGAAGGGGGGGCTTCCCTACCAGTTGAAGTCCTACTTGATGACCCCCACCTATGTGTTTTGTAAACACTTTGATTCCTGAGCTTCTTTTGTTCTGTGACTATAAAAATTCACATAACTTTTTCTACAGTGTAACACATCATTCATGGTAACACAGATCTAAGTTCCCAGACCATAGTCTCATATTTGGCTCACAATAAGCCGTTTTCTTATTTCCTTTAAAGCAGAGTTGGTATTTTATGTCTATAGAAGCCATGGCCATTCCAGAGACAATCAACAGGAGAGCTGTGGCCATGAAGTGTCCTGCCTCCTGACTGCGACCTGCCAAGGAAGTCCAGTTTCTTTCTTTTTCTGGGCTTTGATGAATCCATTTATGATTGATTGAGGTGTGAGTAGTAGAAGGAACAGTCTGCCTGACCCTCCAGGTTCTACTCTAACTCATGGTACAGGGCAAGCTAGGGTAAGCTGGGTGACAAACAGTCTCCAAATCTCAGTGGTTTAACCCAATAAGAATTTATTTTTCATGTCATAGTCTAATACACTGCTAGGCAACTTTTCTTCTAGCAAAAACTCAGGGACATGGGATGCTTTCATCTTCCAAAGATATGAACAGGGGCAGCCTCAAGGGCCCACTTAAGATCAGTGATCGTGGATTATGTATCTCATGATGTGACTTCATAAAATTTGCTTTCACTGCCTTCTTAAAAAACTTGTATTGAATCTGACAACGTCAAGTGAAAGTTTTATTTGTGGCTTTCATCCAGCGTATCTGGATAAGTCGGGCAGTGTCACTGAACAGATCAGCTTCATCTGTTCAAAGGTGATTTTTCCCTGGCTAATAACACAACCTATGGATGAGTGTTGGAAAGAGCCAGAAAGAATTACATACATCTAAACACCTGGGAAGACTAGTTTCAGCACTGAATGTTTTGTGTCAGTGCTGCTGTTGCTGGGCTCTTGTAGCATGCACCCCCATGTGTGTTCTTTGATAAGAGCCAAGGTGTGGAAAGGTGGGGTGCCTAATGAAAACTGTCAACACATCCCTGCTCCTCTCACAATATATCAGAACTCAGGACATCTCAATACAGGTTAAAACACTTAATTTCTAATACCAGGCTCCACTCTTAACCAAATTACGTGACAGTTTGAGGTAGACAAGAAGCTCTAAGGCATCCATCACTAAAGAAGGCATCCCACACTGGTACTTAGAAGAATCTTTTGGTTGCCCCTGGCTTTCTTCACTGAGCCAACACACCACTGCAAAAATAAGGGCAGGAAAAGATGGTGACCTTCTTGCTTTTTGAACTTTCCTGACAAAAAGGGGAGTGGGGCAGGGCATTTTATGTAACTATGAATAGGTGCTTTTTCAGGGAAAACAAAACTGAACAAAACCAGGTGCTTCTTCTCTTCATTGTCTTTTTCTTGTTCTTTTTTTTTTTCAAAGAAAAAAATGTTGTCAGAGTCTATTTTACACTTCATAAAATTTAAGTGTAAAATTCATTGATTTTTTTTATATTTATTTTTTAGTTTTAGGTGGACACAATATCTTTATTTCATTTTTATTTGGTGCTGAGAATTGAACCCAGTGCCCCATGCATGCTAGGCGAACACTCTACCACTGAACCACAACTCCAGCCTCTCGTTGATTTTTTGAAAGTAACTTTACCAAGTCATGTGACCTGCACAATTAAGTTGGTCATCTGGTTTGGAGAGGGGTTGAATGTATCATCAAGGCTTCATGTGTTAAAATTTAATCTCCATTTTGCTCTACTTTGTGTATGACCAGAGACGTGAAAAATTGTGCTCTATAT